TGTATTTCTAAGGATGACAGACTGGCTATTCTGGGCCATCAAAGGGTACAATGAGAATGCAAGTTTTGTTCCTGATTTTATGAACTCATAAATACAGAAGCAGCCACGGCTGAGTGCAGTGGCTCATATCCATAATCCTAGTTACTTGGAAGGAGGATCATTGTTTGAGGCCAGCCCAGGCAAAAAGTTCACAAGAATTCCATCCTAACCAATAAAAGTTGGGTGTGGTGGTGTGCACCTCTCATCCCAGCTATGCAGGAAGCATAAATAGGAGGATTGTTGCCCAGGCTGTCCTGTGCATAAATATAAGCCCCTACTCTTAGAATACCTAAAGTGTGTGGCTCAAGTGATGGAGTACCTGCCTGGCAAGTGCAAGACCCCATGTTTAAGCCCCAGTACTACCAAACCCCGCCCCCCCAAGAAATAGAGAAGGAACCAACAATTATATAGCTCTTACTACATAGCAAGCAGATTAGGAATTTTACATTGACTTCTACAATTTGACTTAGTAGGTATTCCCCCTCGTTTTTACAGTTGAGAAAAACGTTATCTCAACAACTTGAATTTATTGGTTTGAAGTCATACAGCTAATAAGTGGAAGTTTATTCCAAACTCTAGTTTGATTCCAGAACTCTTGCTTATTCTACAATGTCATTCTGCCTCTCAGTTTCATGCTCCTGTGACCACCTATTTTCCACTATACCCTAAATTGCTTACATCATCTCCCATGACAGGATTTCAGGGCAGTGATAGTTTTGATAGCCATAATTATGTGGGTGTGTGCATGTGCAATTTATGTATTGAAGCTCAGTTAAGGGTCTCATCAGTAGCAAATATTTTGCTGGCAAACTCACAAAATCTATGTATCTCATCTATGTGAGGGCTAGCATCTAATTTTTTCATAAGCTTAAACCGTCACAAAGTATGTAATTTCTAGAATATGATATTGATATTTAAAACTATACCATTACGCATTTAAATGTATCTAATGGAGTTGAATACCATGGTGATTTGCTACTCATAACCAAACATGTTTAAAAAATAAATGACTAACCTCCTCTTTAAGGGCATAAAGTTTCCATAATTCTTTTTTTCTCCAGAATTACTTTCACTATCCATTACTTCCACACCCACAAGATTTTATCCTAATGTTATATAATTCTTGTATTTAAGGTCTTTTGTTTTTTCATTACATTATATTTCTTCATAGCAAAGTATAAATTGAAATTTTAATCCTTATCCCTTGTATCCAAAAGGAAATAAATGCTAAAACTACTCCTCTGAATTTAGTTAGCAATTATTAGTAGTACTAAACTGCCCAAAAGAACACAAATATTATGTAAAATTTGTTAGACATAAAAATTACATTTTTGGGGAAATACATTTTTTAAAGGTGTGACTGTGGTGTTTCTCCCAACTAGTTACTACATTTGTGGATGAATATTAAATAATATTCAGGAATGGAATTCAGTATCAATTCATTTCTAATTTCCATCTTTATAAAAGTTCTAGGAAGCCTTTAAAAATAATTATGTGAATAGACAGCTTTATAATGCCACTGTCATTCAATTTTTTTTATTCATTTATTCACATGTGCATACATCGTTTGGGTCATTTCTTCCCACCCCCACCCCCTCTTGCTTCCAGGCAGAACCTATTCTGCCCTTATCTCTAATTTTGTTGAAGAGAAGACAAAAACATACTAAGACAAAGCGATTTTGCTAGTTAAGGATAGCTATATAGAGAGATTCCTAGCATTGCTTCCATGTACAAATGTGTTACAACCCAAGTTGATTCATCTCTAACTGATCTTATACTGGTTCCTGATCCCCTTCTCGTGTTGACCTCTGTCGCTTTAAGGTTTCTGTATTTCATTCAATTTTTTGAACTCAGAGTTATGTGCCAAATCATACAATGAATTTTCATAAAATAACATTTTTACCATCTATCATGACAAGTTGATTAGGTTCTCTTTAAACTTTATTGAGGACAGGGAATTAGAAACTATCTCACTTAGAAAGGAATTTATCACCAAGGATTAGTCATTCAATTTTTCAATTTTTGGGGAATGCTACTATAGTAGCATGATTCCCTCCTCCTGGTACTTGAGTACTTATGCCATCTGGACCCCATGAATGTGGGTTAGAACTAAGGACTCACTTCTAACAGACTATAACAAAAGTCTGAAGATGTGTGGTATGGCATGGTGACTACAGTTAATAATAATGTATTGTACACTTGAAATTGCTAAGAGAGATCTTAAGTGTTCTCACCACAATTATGTGAGGTGATGGATGTGTTAATTAGCATAATTTAATAATTTCACAATGTGTACCTGTATCAAAATATGTTGTACGACAGAAAAAATATACAATTTTTATTTGTTGATTATACCTTTAAAGAATAGGGAGAGAAAAAATATGACAAAAGTGAAGATACTTCCAGATTAGGTTGCAAAAAGACTGGCTTTATTCTCCCTCTCTCACTCTGAGGGAAGCTGAAAAATGTTACAAGCTGTCTTATGGAAACATATGGCAAGGAACTGATGCAAAAGCCAGCAATGGGTTAAGGTCCCTAGTACAACAGCCCATGAAAAACTGACCACTATATACAAGTGGGCAGGTCTCAAATTATTTTTTCAATATTTGAAAGTTACCAGTATCATGACATTTCACTCCAAATACTACAGCACATATTCTATCACATTATTACCCTCAAGAAATTTAAGGTTGATACATTAATCATTACCAATTTAGAGTCCCTTATTGTGAAACTTCCCTTATTGTCCCAAACATGTCCTTTACAGACAGATCAAGAATCACTGTTGAATTTGATTGCCATGCCATTTGTGAATTGTCTGATGGTTTCCTTATAATCACAAATAGGTTAAGCAATATTTTTGTGACTAATACATTGGTGATGTGGTGTGCCTTCTTCCCAATATTCGTTTGGAATGTTTAACATAGGGATGATCAGGGCAACTCCATGGGGAAATCACTAAAAACACAAGCATTGAATAATGGAATCAATTTAAATAAAAAGATATATTAGAAGATCTTAAGTTGTTTATTGATGGATCTCCACGATGGTTGTATCATAGTTCTTTCTCTTGGTGACTGAAATATCCATATCAGAACTGTCAATTCCTTTTTCTTTTCAAGGACTGTTCTATCAATACTTCCTCCCTCCACCCTTTATGATTTTAAGGCTTTGGGACAAACAAAAAGGATTCTCTCTACACAAAGACATGGAGATTTACCTCTAGAATGGAGGAGTAAGAAGCAGGGTAAAATAACTCCTCCATAAAAGCAAAGAGAAAAGTGGCAAGAGTTACCAAAGTCAACATTTTCAGATCTCTGGAAATTAATCAAAGGCTTGCAACAATATGAGCTTTTATTTTTCTAAAAAAAAGAGGTTAAATCACAGTAATAACAGTGAGTATGGTATTTAAACTTGCTTTATTGTTACTCCCCTCCTCTCTGTTCTACTGTATCCTTGAAAACCAGCAGTCTTGGGTCCATGGCATTTGTGAATAATGGCATCTTGGCAGCCATTGGATGGGAACTCCCCATTTGACCTGTCCTGTGGTTCCCTAGAAAAGCCCCTTTTAAGGGGATTATCTTTATGCAATTGGATTCAGGGCTCCCTCAGGGAAGAGTGCTATACCTGGGATATTTCTTTTATAAAGAGTGGCATATTGTTTAATAACAGCTGCCTGAGGCAGTTAAGCCAGTTGGGCTGACAAGAGGCTGACCAAAAAATGTAAAGGAAAATTTGGGAAATGAGCTGTCTATGGAGGTTGGTCCTTGAAAACTTTCAACATATTTATAGGGATTTAGAGAGCCATGAACATGTGCAGGGCTGTGTACATATGAATATAATTCAATAAAAATGGGCAAAGGGTCTGAACACATACTTTGTCACAGATGATATACTGATGACAAATGTATGGAAAGATGGTGCAACATCATTCCTCATTTGAGAAATGCAATGTAAAAAGTGAGATCCCACTATACACCTGTTACAATGGCTAAACTTAAAAACCCCAACACTGAAGAAGATACAGAGCAACTAATGGGAAAGAACTGTCATGTTTAACATGACCGTTTATCATGTTAAACAAATTTACCACATGACCTAGCAATACTACCACCAGTTAAGCTAAACAAATTAAACCTATGTTCACACAAAATCTGTATATGAGTGGTCATACCAGCTTTATTCATAATTGCTAAAAACTGGAAACAGAAATAATGCAAATGTTCTTCAAGAAGTGGATGAATAAACAAACCATGGTACACCCATTTAATGGAAAATGACTTAGCACTATTGATACATACAAACACAGAGGACTCTCAGGGGTGTTATGCTGACTGAAATAAGCCAATATCAAAAGGATACTACTGTATGGTTCTATTTTTATGACATTTTGAAAAAGGCAAACTATAGGAACAAAGAACCGAGGTGTACTTGTCAGAGGTTAGGGATAACACAAGAGAATTTTGGATGGTGTTGGAATAGTTGTATATCCTGATTGTGGTGGTGATTACATTGATCATACAGACCTTAAAAGTCCCAGAAACATACAATAATGTGTGTGTGTTTTTATTACCACGGTGGTTACATGGGTGTATATATACTTGTCAAAACACTTAAAATAGGTGAATTTTATTCTGTGTAAATTGTATCTCAAAAAGTTGATTTTTTCTAAAAAAAAAAAAATTGGAGACAAGGTCCATGTAGTCCAGTACCCCAGGCTGGCCTTTAACTCACAAATGTCCTGCTTCCACCTCTTTTTCTGCTGGGATTATAATAAAGAACTGCCACATCCAGCTTTGATAAACTATACTTCTAAACGTGGGATTACTAGGTATATTAAATTTGAATTTATATAGCTACTGGCATATTGTCCTCTACATAGCAAGGAAGAAGTTTAGAATGAGACACAGGTGCATTTGGAAGTTCTCTATCCCCTGATCCTGAACTTTTTTCTTTCACAGGATCATGCTGATATTGAGTGGAAGTTTGCAAGAACAAAGCTTTGGATGAGTTACTTTGATGAAGGTGGCACTTTGCCACCTCCTTTCAACATCATCCCCAGCCCCAAATCATTTCTCTATCTTGGTAACTGGTTCAACAACACCTTCTGCCCCAAGAGAGACCCGGATGGTAGACGGAGAAGACATAACTTGAGAAGCTTTACAGTAAGACTTTTAAAACACTGTGTCTCAGAATGTAAAATATGTCCTGTTCAGGGGTGGATACTAGCGGGAGGGGGAAGGGTGAATAGAGATGATGAATATGGTCGATGTATTTTATATTCTTGTGTGAAAATAAAACAATGAAACCTACTGAAATCATTTTAAATAGGGGGGAGAGGAGGGAGTATGATGGTGGGGGTGAAACTAACCAAGATACATTCTAAGCACATATGGTAATGTCACAATGGAAACACCCTTGTACAACTAATATATACTAATAAATGTTAAAAAAGAAATGTGCCATGAACATCTGCCTCCAAAAGTATAGCATTATATATGTTAACTTACTAATTGTGACATTAATGGTGGTTCCAAAATAGTTAAAATAAATATCCAAGCATAAACTAATTGTCTATTTTAAAACAAATGTTTTCCTCCTTTCCCTCCTTTGTGACAGTCCTATCTTAAGCATCATAAAATAACTCTAATCTACTTATGCCTTGGGGATGTGTCATTCTCCTATCACAATATTTACAAATATTTTGGGATGGGTGGGTAGGCAGGGTGTTAGAACACTGCTGATGTAACCGCTGTCCATTTTCAATTGCAGGAACGCCATGCTGACAGCCTGATACAAAACCAACATTATCAGGTAAACCTTCTTGCACAACAATTCCTGGCCAATTCAGCAGAGAGGAAACAAACTCCACTCTTGGCCATGTCTGGACTTGACAAGGATAGGAAGATTGAAAAGGCTATAATTTATCAAAGGTGGATTCATCAGAGTGGAATCAGCTACTTTATAGTCCTGCTCACAGTCCTTTAACACTGCCTTAGCTGAATCAGCAGCAACCACTACTTCTAAAGCTATCTTCCTCAAGATTAAAATAGGATACGTGGTTGGTTGACTGACCACTCAACAAATATTTGCGTACTTACTGTAATCAGACACCAGGATAGGCATTAGAGAAATCACTGTGAACAAGAAAGACACTATCTTTCTACCCTTATGAAGTTTATTATCTAGCATGGATGGGAGACATTAAAAAAATCATTAGAACTATTAAAACTAAGTGATTAGGGTTAAAAACTGCTGTGAACAAAAAGCAATAGAGTAATGGGAATATATAATAAGTAAGGAATATATAACAGGAAGAAGCTAACTTCACTGAAGTAAAAGCATATATAAATATAACTTAAGGTCTTTCAAAATGACAACTTTTTGTTTTTATTATTGTACAGGGGGTACAGTTTGACCATAACAAAAGCTCTTACAATATATCATAGTTGAATTCACCCCCTATATCATTCTCCTTTATTTCCCTTCCCTCGTTCCTGGAATAGTTTCAACAGTTCTCATTTTTCCATTTTCATATATGAGTACATAATATTTCCACTATATTCACCCTCCTACATCCTTTCCTTGTACCCTCCCCTCCTCCCACTGCTACCAACCTCCAGACAGGACTTGATTTATGTTCCTGTCCTCCATTTTTGAGGAAAAAAATGGCATTTTTGTTTAAGAAATCTATAAAATTTTATTATGACATTTCCACGTACATATGTATTATATAAAAAAGCAGATAAGCACTTCTATTCCACCAGCCAGAAGCCAATCAAACATCTAAATATGTGAGACATCTCTTTAGACAAATCCTTGCAAATCACAAATAAGAGTCAATAATCTCTCGCGTTCCTGATCAAAAGAAATCCAAAGCAATAAAATGTTCTGCTGGGCTTAAAGGAAATTCAACTTTATTCTATAGGTCACTTCCCTAATTTTGTTCTTCTTAGGCCATAACTAACAAAAAGAAAAAGGAAACACAGTATTTGGTAGTTAACCCTTCTCTCGCTACTCTTGCTTCCAAATCTTATTTTCACAATAATGAATCCTAAGCAAGTTTTTTTGCTTCCAATTTCTGCATCATAATCCTCACAAAAAATTGGTTCTTGGGCATCTCAGTGACTTCTTTAAGTTCACAGAGTAACAGAATAAATAAAGCACTGATCATTATTAGTATAGGCCTTGAAATCTCACCATAATCTGTCTTACACATTTGTTTAATATTCTGGGTGTTTATCAGTGTAGAAATTGCATGCTATTAAGGATGAAGCAGAATTGAAATCTAATTTTTACATTTTCTAATTGTATAACTTTGGAAAAGTTAGTTAACATCACTGAGCCTTAGCTTCCTCATCTGTGAGCTAGGGATAATAGTAAAACTTAATTTACAGTGTTGTGAAAATTGAGTGGTGTATGTTACCTGGCATAGTGCCTGACACACTGCAATAAGTGGTAGCTATCATCACCATAACTAATACAAAACATGTGTGCTCCTCCCCAGAGACTAAGTAAAGAGGCCATCCCAATAAAGGAAAAGTGTAGACTGACTAAGAAAAATTGGAGAGATATGGTGGTGTATACCTATAACCCTGCCTATGTGGGAGGCAGAAACTGGAAGATCACAGTTTGAACCCAGCTGGGGCAAAAAGAATTACTGAGATCCCATCTCAACAAATAAGTTGGGCATGGTGGTTTACACTTGTATATCAAGCTATGCAAGAGGCATAGGTAAGAGGATCATGTTCTAAGGCCAGTCCAGGGCAAAACCACAGACCCTATTCAAAAAAATTACTGAAGTAAAAAGATCTGGAGGCATGGCTCTAGTGGTAGAGCACCTGACTGGAGTATAAGACCTATTATCACCCTCCCCCTCCTGCCCAATGCCAAAAAAAAAGAAAAATGTCTTAACAATGTATTTAGTACCAGAATTAGTAACTCTCAATTTTATAAAGAGAAAAGTCTCTTATATTTTAGTAAGAATTAAGTTAAAGTTTAATCCAGCCTGAAGGGAAAGTTATATCAATTATGACCATTTAAGAATTATTCTACTCTCACTAGTCTGTAAATGTGAATATGTTTACCTTGTGCTTGGGTGGAAATTCTTCCTTTGGGGTGAATCTGATTTTACTGCCACAGTCTGCAACCAAATTCAGAGATAAAATGATTCATTTAGCCAGTGGGCTTAAATCATTTTTTTTTTGCAGATAATGGCTTGAATCTTGTGAAGATTTTCTATCGCAAAGATGGTCTAAGCATGTTTTATTTCCTGTGTAGGTTAACAAGGAAACCTACAAGGAAATAGTCTGATAGCCTAACAAGGAAACTGAATGCTTCTTCATGCTTTTCAATTTCAGGAAGTTATCAGGAATTTAGTCAAAAGATATGTGGCTGCCATGATAAGAAATTCCAAAACAAATGAGGGGTTAACAGAAGAAAATTTTAAGGTAATTTAATCATGAAGTGATTTGATGTCCTCTTTCCCTTCTCCTTTTATCTCTCCTCTCTGTCTGTCCCCCTCCCTCCCGCCCTCTCTCTCCCTCCCCCTCTCTGTCTGTTGATCTGTTGTGCCAGAGAGTGAATCCAGGACCTGATGGTAGCAAGCATTCTACCACTGAGATACACCCCAGCTCTAACTTATCATTTATTAAGTATAATATGCACAGTGTTTCAAATGTCTGGTCATAAAATTTCACTGCCTGCAGAATCTATCATCTAGTAGATGGGAGAGATTTTACCAATTATCTGTCACACCACAATCAGTTTTATAAACAAAAGAAACCTGTCCAATACATTAATATTCTGGGTGTTTCTCAATGTGGGAATTACATGCTTTAAATGATGTGTCAAGGATGAATGGTAAGGGATAAGACACCAAACAGAAAATGCCTAGAGACTTAAAGGCCTTCTTTGCCTAAAGGATACAAGACAAAGGCCCAAAATGTATTATTAAGTCTAAAATCCTAAGAAACTCTACCATTATAAGCTTTTATTTGGGTACTGGGGTTTGAACTCAGGGCCTCATGCTTGGCCCTCTACCTCTTGAGCCACTCTACCAGCTGTTGAAATTGTTCTAAGGGGAGTGGGGAGAGGAGGGAGAACAATGGAGGGGAATAAATCTAAGATATATTGTAAGCATATATATAAACATCACAATGTATCCCCCTATACAGGTATTAGATACTAATAAAAAAGAAACTCTACCATTAAATTTTAAATCTTTTCCTATTATTAGCACTAGCCTAAAACAGTGATTCTCTACCAGGAGCAATTTTGTCCCCCAGAGTACTAATGGCAGTCTGGAGAAACTTTTTGTTGTTGACCCAGCATCTAGTGGGTAGAGAGGTTGCTATGAAAGATTGTACAACAAAACAAGATACCCTCCCACAACATATCAGTAGAACTAAGATTGAGAAATCCATACATAGGCATTTCTAAAGCACATAGGAAGGCTATTATCCTAATCTACAGACATAACTAATTTTTGAAGGCCTATGTGCCGAGCACTCTGCTAAGTGCAGGGTATAATGGTGAACAAAATCTAACCAGCCACTGTTCTGTGGAATGATGATTAATAATGTGGTGATAAATGATTAAATATTATATCAGAGTAAACAAGGGGCACCATAGAAACACAGAGAGGAGGGATAGTCAACTGGGATGTGAGGAATTAGGGCAGGCTTTCCAGAGGAAGTGATAAGCTTGAAGGAGGAGCCAGATAAAGTGGCCAAGAAAGAGAGAACAATGACAAAGGCCCAGAGACAAAAGAGAATATGTCCATATGAATAGACAGTAGAGCCTGGAGGGGGGAGAGAGAAGAAATTAAGCTGGACAGATCTGTAGGTATCAGGCCTTGAAAAACTCTGTAGTCCATGATAAGGCATTTCTACCTTTTCCTATTCCTAAGGTCAGTGGCAAGTTACTAAGGTATTTTAACTCTGACTCATGATCAGAGTGCAGCTTTTAAGAGGGCCTTTAAATGAACAAACCTGGCATTTAAGCAGCCAGTTATAGATAGAAGACATTTTTGTAGTGACTTGAATGAACAGGTCTTCTGTCCCAAAACAAGTTTCATCACCTGACATTTCACTTCTCTAGTTTCATTCCTGGGAGTCCTAAAATCAGTGCCTTCTTCAGTGGTCCTTTTATATACAGATACCTGTGAGAGCCAATGCCCTAATGGAATACTTCAAATGCCAATTAATACTTAATTAGGGATTAGTCTGTTGATGTGCTCCTGATGAGGAGATTCTGAAATCAGTTTACTCATTGAAAAAATTTTCCAAACTGGTTAGCAGTCTGCAAAAAAATGAAACTAGATCCATGTTTATCACCCTATACCAATATTAACTCAAAATGGATCAAGGATCTTAATATCAGACCCCAAACTCTAAAGTTGGTACAGGAAAGAGTAGGAACTACTTTGGAACTAATAGGTATAGGCAAGGACTTTCTCAATGGAACCCCAGCAGCTCAGCAACTAAGAGATAGCATAGATAAATGGGACTTCATAAAACTAAAAAGCTTCTGCTTAACAAAAGAAATGGTCTCTAAACTGAAGAGACCACCCACAGAGTATGAGAAAATATTTGCCAGCTACACAGCAGACAAAGGACTGATAACCAGAATATATAGGGAACTTAAAAACTAAATTCTCCCAAAATTAATGAACCAATAAAGAAATTGGCAAGTGAACTAAACAGAACTTTCTCAAAAGAAGAAATTCAAATGGCCCAAAAACACATGAAAAAATGCTCACCATCTCTAGCAATAAAGGAAATGCCAATTAAAACCACACTAAGATTCCACCTCACCCCTGTTAGAATAGCCATCATTAGCAACACCACTAACAACAAGTGTTGGCAAGGATGGGAGTGGGGAAGGAACCCTCTTACACTGCTGGTAGGAATGTAAACTAGTACAACCACTCTAGAAAAAAATTTGGAGGCTTCTTAAAAATCTAAACATAGATCTACCATATGATCCAGCAATACCACTCTTGGGGATATACCCAAAAGAATGTGACACAGGTTACTCCAGAGGCACCTGCACACCCATGTTTATTGCAGCAGTATTCACAATAGCCAAGTTATGGAAACAGCCAAGATACCCCACTACTGACAAATGGATTAAGAAAATGTGGTATTTATACACAATGGAACTTTATGCAGCCATGAAGAATGAAATCTTATCATTCACAAGTAAATGGATGGAACTGGAGAACATCATTCTGAGTGAGGTTAGCCTGGCCCCGAAGACCGAAAATCGTATATTCTCCCTCATATGTGGACATTAGATCAAGGGTAAACACAACAAGGGGATTGGACTTTGATCACATGATAAATCGAAAGCACACAAAGAAGGTATGAGGATAGGTAAGACACCCAAAAACCGAGATAGCGTTTGTTGCCCTCATGCAGAGAAACTAATGCAGATACTTTAAAGAAACTGAGGCCAATAGGAGATGGACCAAGAACTAGAGAAAAGGTTAGTTCGTGAAGAATTAATTTAGAAGGTAACACACATGTACAGGAAAGCAATGAAAGTCAACTCCCTGTATAGCTATCCTTATCTCAATTGGCAAAATCCCTTGGTCCTTCCTATTATTGCTTATACGCTCTCTTCAACAAAATTAGAGATAAGGGCAAAATAGTTTCTGCCTGGTAGCGAGGGGGTGGGGGGGAGAGGGAGGGGGTGGGGGAGAAATGACCCAAACATTGTATGCACATATGAATAAAAGAAAAAATAAAAAAAAGAAAAAATTTCCAGTGGCCACATAATTCTTGTTTTTCTTGTGCTTGAATAGTAGCAGATGTGATAGATTTTTCTGGTATTTTATATACTTTGTGGTTTGCTACTAGGCAAACTTAGACTATTTTAGAGGGTATCAAGGTATCCATTATGCCTGCTATGACTAAAGGTCAACCCTCTTGATATAACTTCTCTTTCCTCTTTCCCTAGGAATTAAAGCAGGACATCTCCAGCTTTCGATATGAAGTGCTTGACCTCTTAGGAAATAGAAAACACCCAAGGAGAAGCTTTTCCACTAGCAGCACTGAACTCTCTCAGAGGGATGATACCAATGATGGCAGTGGTGGGGCTCGGGCCAAATCCAAGAGTGTCTCTTTCAACTTAGGCTGCAAGAAAAAGGCCTGCCATGGGCCGCCGCTCATCAGAACCATGCCAAGAGCCAGTGGTGCCCAAGGGAAGTCAAAAGCTGAGTCATCAAGCAAACGCTCCTTCATGGGTCCTTCTCTCAAGAAACTGGGTCTCCTATTCTCCAAGTTTAATGGTCATATGTCTGAACCCAGTTCAGAACCAATGTACACAATTTCTGATGGACTCGTTCAGCAGCACTATATGTGGCAGGACATCAAATATTCTCAGATGGAGAAAGGGAAAGCAGAGGCCTGTTCTCAAAGTGAAATTAACCTCAGTGAGGTAGAATTAGGTGAAGTCCGGGGCGCTGCTCAGAGCAGTGAATGCCCTCTAGCCTGTTCCAGCTCTCTTCACTGTGCATCCAGCATCTGCTCCTCAAATTCTAAACTTTTAGACTCCTCAGAGGATGTATTTGAAACTTGGGGAGAGGCTTGTGACTTGCTCATGCACAAATGGGGTGATGGACAGGAAGAACAAGTTACAACTCGTCTCTAAGTCAAGGCCCTATCACCTATTCTGGAACTCAATAGAAAATTTATATTTCTTTGTTCTCAGAGGTGACAGAATCCCTTACTGCCCCCACCCCCCCAAAGGAGAGTGAAACTCCTATTACTTCCCCTTTTATAGCTACATTCTCCAAGTTTTGTTCTTGTCTTATTATTACTATTATTTGCCTTTTTATACCTATTAACACTAAATCCATCTCAAAACCAACTGAAGGGGTCTTGCCCCTAATCAGCTGAGGTGCAGTCGGGTGCTTAACCCTTTCGCTTTGCTTTGCTTTGCTTACCCTTGCTTCCTTGAAGCTCCAGGTGCCACTTCGCTACTGTTGCTATTGCACAGATTCCTGAACTTTCTCAGGATCTTACGCCATCTCCCCACAGGGCTGAGGGATGTGCTCAGCAGTCCTCACCAGCTATCAGATAAGGCAAACCAACCTGCATATTGTTGTTATCCTTCAGTGATACGCACTGCTCATGCTGGTTCAATGAACAGCATCAAAGGGAGGTTAAACAGACTCCACAGAATTGCCAGCTTGTGGTTTCTAGGTAGAACTGGCCTTTTGTTTTGTTTTTAAACACTATAACTTCTTATTGTGGGCCCTGTGAGCTTTTTGTTTCGTAAAGATGTGTTAGTTTCTTAATGTGTGCTAATGCTACATTTACCCTATAGTATATATGTCATATCTAATAAGTGAGGTGAATTCCTTTCCTGTGTTTGTGTACTTCAGTTAACTTACATTTTAAAATTTGATAGCATTAAAATTAGTATTTAGGATGTGTACTTTTTTTAAAATCTACTGCACTCTAACCAATAGTCATTACATCTCCTACTTGGCAAGAAAAAATAATTAGCTGGTATATTTATAGGGTCCTATCTACTGCTGATAGATTTAAAAACCAATGCTATCAAGGGATTAAAAGATAAAGGCCTGGATTTGAAATAGTTTTTATCAGAAAAATGACATTTTGCCAGTGTTGAATGCTAAAAAAAAAGTCATCTTACATCTTATCTTCAATTTAATTAACTGCTTTCTGGAAAAAAACAAATTTTAGGTTTACATTTAGGTTACAGTTTTAATATTCACTGGCGGCAGAATTGCATGTAAAAATTTTAGATATATAACATTACCCTAGTGATCCATATTTTACTGTCTTTAAAGCTGCATTCATATAGCCAAACTAATTACTTCCCACACCTTAAGAGTACTTCATCAGAATACAAAGGTACAAATTTAAAACTGAAGTTTCAATGCATAATTATTTTAGACCTGATAACCACCAAGCAATAACCTGCTGAGCAAGGGTGATTTTTGCCAACATTAGCACAAAAGTTTCCTTAATTTATCGTCTAACAAGACCTGAAACAGCCAGAGATCTGGCTCTTGGGGACTAAATTAACAATGTAAATTTAACAAAGTCTAAAAGTTAGCTAGGTGTCACTCTGCTCTTTTAAATGTCAGCATCAACAGGAACCCATCTAAATTCTTAGATGTTATTTCTGGTAGAAATGAAATGAAGAATTTTCAAGCAATGAAAATACATCTCAAAACTAGTTTTTGGCAATGTAATTTCTGTTATTTGAATTGATTCCCATCTGTATCCTTAGCATTGGTGAATGTTGGTCAAGGTGTTTAACACACAGAAAAGCCAAACTTGTGGGGAGGACACAAGAGGTACTGAAGAGTGAACTCAGATCCAGGGAAAAGGAATAAAGAGAACAAGCTGCATCAAGACCCATTTGGCAAAGGTTTGTCCCAAAATAATTCTTTGATCTTTAGTTATTTATTCAAATCTAACTTCTCTCCTGTCACTAAGTGGGGAGGCTATCATAAATGGCTCTGACACTAGAACAGTCTACTTTCCACAAGGAAGTTTTCCAAAGTTATAGATTCAACTTTCCCAAATGCCAAGTTCATTTTGAATAGTAACAGAACCTTGGCTATATTCCTAATTCACATTGATGATACCAAATAAACCAATATATAACCCAATTTCATAAAAAGATAAACATGTCTTCCTCACAAATGTACATGAACTTCTGATAATTGAGGTATACTTTTTCTGGCAGCTATTTTACCAGTTTGTCAGAAAACAGCATAGCCAGGCATGCAGTCATGCTCCAAAACAGTTTTCTCTGTTATGTTCTAAAGAGAGTGGAAGTATAACGCTCAGTAGCCAATCTCTATTACTGGAAGAAACCAGTGCCATGTTTCATGAGAGTACATTCCTTTTTCAGATCTTCTCAGGGTTATTATTTTTGTGATTTGGGCTTAGGACTTAACTAGCTATATTGAGGTCTCAGTTAGTATGGGGGTTAAAGCTAAGCATCTACTGCCCTTTTATGCTGGTGACACCAACATTTTTATTAAGTCTAAAACAATAGAAACTAGGAAGAGGAAAGGTTTTTGTGTTCACTTTTCTACTCTCCTGACCCAGCTGCTACTAACTTATTTCAGAGCTGAGAGTGTTGCTGAGTGGTAGACCATTTTGCCTAGCATGCTGCACTCCTGGTTCCCATACAAAATAGCGCAAAAAAAGAGGCATTTCAAATAAAAGTACTTAAGTATTTCCTCTGACCCCAGAGAAGGTACAAACCAACTTGAGAGTAAATTTATAACAAAAAGAGCTAAAAGAGAAACTTTGAGAGGGTTAACTTGATTCCAACCTCATGTTTTACAAATAAAAAGGGGAGGAAGATGTCCAGAGACGATTATAGAGCTGATCAATAAACTCAAATGTTCTATATCATAGAAATAAGACATTAATCCAGCATATATATGTTATATATAGGAAATATATAAATAAAATGTCCACTATACAGCATACCTATTTTTCCATTTGCCTAAAATGCCGCAAACTCCAAAAATTTCACAGACATATTTAAATGTAAAAATGTATTATAGTCAAAACAGTTAAAAATTATCACTTACTAATTATGTAAAATAACCACACCATGATTCACTTCCATTACAGTTGGCTTTTTTGTAACTTCTAGATACATTGGATTCGTTTAATCCCATAATTAATGACTCTGATAATAATTAGGGTAAAGATACTACAAAGAAAATGTATGAATTATATTAGAAAAGAACCATTATTAAAGTATCTCCTCCACTTTTAGCTTTAAGTCCAGTGAAATACAAAGACAGAATGATTCTAAAGTTTATAACACTGTTTTTCAAAGATACCAATTTTTACAGGGATATAAACGTTCCAAGGTAGCCAACTGTGGAACACACACCTGTAATGACAGCACTCACCAGGCTAAGGCAGGAGGATTGTGAGATAGAGGCCAGTCTGTGATACATAGCAAGATCCTGTCTCAAGAAAAAAAATGCTTCAGGTTCTACTTCTGTTACATGAGAACATGAAAATTTTTCCAGTTCTACCTGCCATAATCATTTCTTCATTCTACTGTGACTTAATTTAGGCTATAAACCTAAAGCATCTATAAGCATCTGCCTGAAATTGATTAAAGAACTTTAACAATCTATAGCCTCCATCTTTTGAATGACTTATTAAAATACCTTTTCCCAAAAGAAACTTTTGAGTTCTTATGGCAATGCATAACTCTTCTGAACATTTCAATGGGAATTAGGGAAAAAGATGAAGTAATACCTTAGCAAGAAAATACAAACCTAACCATTTGCCTATTTGTGTTGCATTGTGAGGGAAACTCAAGTTGTGTTTTGACTTAGCTTTAGTGGTCAAGATCTTGGCTTGATAAATCATCTGGTTAAAAGTACTTGAAGTTAGAAATTCCTTTCTGTTTAAAAGAATATAAAAAATTGAGCATATTATTTTAGTAAGTTTTCAAAAACAGTGCTAATAAACAGATTGCCCATATAGACAAGTCAATATAAATTGATACAATTGCTCAGAAGATTTAAACAACTTCATATCTACTTCATAGCTTCCCTACTCCCACTCCTGAAACTTTGCCTCAAAAATATGGATATTTTGGAGTGTTTCTTTGGATTATTTAATTGCTTTAAATGCCCACTTTGTTGGTATAGAACTAGACATTTGGGACAGAGTGAGCCTTATTTTAGTACAGAGAAGTGCTGTTTCCACTGCATTGCCAATGAGCTTTCCAATCACCTTTCACACAAATGTGGGTTTTGGCTCACTTTGCTTTTTGGGAAATGTTTTTAATATGGAAATCTTCATGAATTTGCGTGTTATCCTCGTGCAGAGGCTATGCTAATCTTCTCTGTATCGTTCCAATTTTAATATATGTGCTGCCGAAGCGAGCACCAGGGAACTATTTCTAACAGTGTCTTGTCTGTATGCACACAAATATACTGAAACTTAACATTTGATTCTTCTGAGACTGGCCTTTTAGCCCTTTTGGTAATTACTAGATCATTTTGAAGCTTAGGGAAGCAGGAGTAACTTTTCAATGTAAAGACAATTCCTGAAATGTGATAAGGAATTGCTAAAATCAACTGCCGTAACAGTATTCTCTGGAGGACAACAGTTATAATGACAGCTATCAGGATTCAGGGTTTCTAATTGTAAGAAAAAAAAAAACATTTAGGCAGGAACTTACTTGTAAAATGGTTTGTTTTTTTTTGTGGTACTTTGGCTTGATCTCAGGGCTTGACCTTGAGCCACTCCACCAGTCCTTTTTTGTGAAGGGTTTTTTGAGATAGGGTCTCACAGAACTATTTGCCAAGGTTGGCTTCAAACTGTGATCCTCCTGATCTCTGCTTCCTGATCAGCTAGGATTACAGGTGTGAGCCACCAGTGCCTGGCAATGTATACATTTTTGGCAAAAGAGAGTATACATATTGTAGATTTACTGCATACTCATTACTATTTATAATGCTGATATGTAGCCTAGAATTTTCTTCAGTTTGCTGCTTGGAGGTTCTGAGAAGGTACTAATGTGTGGCTTTTGAGAGCTTTGCTTTATGAAAATGGAATGTTTGGGAAATAGAGGAATTAACTGCTGAAATAATACAGGTAGCAAGCCAGGGTGTTAAAGCT